TTCCAAAAAAAATTAGACAAATTAATAGCAAATTGGCCCATAAATGAATATTGAAGTGAATAGGACCTTTTAAACCTGTAATACTGCAATTGTAGCTGTCGGGAGAGTACACGAAGGAGTGGACTGCAGACACTGATCCAGCCCATGCAGACCCCTTAAATACTGTGTCCTGCCACCGTGGGGGCTCAGACCCCACCAAGTTACATGCTGCTTTTTTATGCTGCCCTCCTTTAGACCCTTGAAAGTTAAAACTTTGGAGGGGGTATCACCAGCTCCTTTCCCATGCTTCCACTAACCTGGGAAAAACACTCAGTTTAAGGGATGAGTGAGGCAAAGTGCTATACCCTCATGCTCTGCATAGGGCTGTGCTGCCTGTAAAGCAGTGACAACAGGAGCGTGCTTATTTGTGCTCTGCCAGGGCTGAAGCCACCCTTCCACCTGCTGTGCATGATATAGGATTTAATTTGAAGGACAAATGAAGGGGAAGGGTTATATTTGCAGAATGCTGTAAAGCTGTGCTGCCAGCAACCAGTCATTAGGGAAGGCTGCTTTGCAATACTTTGGGTTTTTGTTGTTATAAATAACAATATTTAACTTTATAGAGCTTTACTGTTAGCTCTTCCAGACCTATGACCAGGAACAGCGAGTAAACAAGAGGTACCAAACCTCCTTATCCACCAAAACCTGCTTCTTTTATTAGCTTTTCTCTTTGCTTAGAATAAGGTTTTTTTCCTGCCTTTTTTGGGGGGAATAGTTTTGTTAGAGAGGAGACAGGTGGGGGAAGCGCATCCTGAGATACCTTTTACTATGGGTGTTACTGGATTGTGTGTCATGTGCTGAAATAACGTGTTTCTCCGCATCTTTTCTCTTTGGATCAGAGCATGAGATCCAGATCTGGACACACCAGCCAGTTCAAACTTAAGGGCTTGCCACATCCCATTTATTTCCAAGTCTGATTACTATATGTTCAACTTACCATACGCCTTTTTTTTTTTTTTGAGGTTGCGTGTGTTAATTCAGGCATATCTGAAATATGGAACATCTGCCAGTGGGGAGATGAATACAGGAGGGACTGTGGTGATGCTGCCTATTTATTCCTTGGGACATCCCAATGCTCCCACCCATCTTCCGTTTATCCACATTTCTGAGTTGCTGTTGGCACTAAATGAATATTTTGACTTCTCAGGCTGCTGAAGCCCTAATGCAGGTTCATGTCCTGGAGGCTGAATGATGCATGGGGACAGAGAAGGCTGAAAACCTCTCCCTTAAAGAAACGTTTTTTTAAGTCTTAACAGACATGGGTCATACTGTCACGATTTTTTTTTCCTGAGGGATGTTACTAAATCAAATTTCTTGGTTCTCTACTTGAAGAACAGACCCCGAAAGGTCAAATGGGGCAGAAATGGGAAGAGATCCTGACTACTCGCTGAGATGTGGTAAGAGGAAGGGGGAAAAAAAAAAAAACCACACAAAAAACCACCACACAGAAAAAAACCACCACAAAACCATTGCTTTTGTGAAATCTAGCCATGAAACTAATTATTCTGGAGATCTGCTGCGTCAGCATCCATCCTGCTGGCGATGGGCATGGGCCACAGGAGACAGACGCAACATGTGCTTTGGAGGTCCCTTATGCCTTGTGTCAGACACTCAGTGCTGACCTGAGCGGCTCCTCTTGCCTAAAAAGGACTGCTAAAATTGCTCTTTTTTTTTTCCAGACTGAGAAAGAGAAGAAAATCAAGGCATAAGCAGCATAAAGTAATTTTTGGTTAATGCGTGGACAAGTACACAGATGGCCAAACTGTCCGAAACAAAAGAGGATAGAAAACATGGTACTAACAATGACAAGAAATGGTACCCAAGGTTTTTTAGGCTGAAATAATCACTTCGTTAAGGTATCTGAAGTGCCAAAGAGTGCTGGGTTGTCACTGCAAGGCCATCCTGGTACTAAAATGTGTCTGCAAGGATGGAGCTGGGTGTGATGATGCTGAGCTCCACGTCCACCCGAGCATGCTTGCAAGTGGGCAAGGTTTGATATAATGTGATTCTGAACCAAAAAGATGCATAATTGGTATTTAATGCACCATGAACATATTTTTCACTGCCTTCAGAGGTGTCAAAGCTGTATTGGTCTACCTGGGAAGGAGAGAGTGCTGTAACTGTATGGAGAAAAAAAACCTAATGACACTATTTTATATGTACTAGGGATAAAATATGCCACTATTGATGTCAGATCTGAACTCACCTAAATAGTTACTGATGCTTTTATTCATAGCCAGGTACCTTCATTGCTCCAGTGCTATTGACTATTACTGGGCATAATCATCATTATTATTAAGTATGTTATGAAATTATTAATTTTTAATAGATTATATATTTTTAAAAAGTATTTTAAAATGTGTATTTTTAAACAATTTTTGAAGCCTTGCACAGTGATTAAAGCAGTAAACTCAAGGCTTTGAGTCATGAACTCTTTCAGGGGGCTGCTTCAAACCCCAACTCATGCTGCAACCCTGGTAAAAGCTGCTCCTGAGCACAGACCCAGGATGGTGAGACTTAAACATGTGCCGTCCAGCAATGCCACTGCACAGCATCACTGTGACCTGCAGATCGCTATTTAGCTTGTGGCATCCACAGCCCCAGCCACAGTCGCTCTGGCTATAGCAGCCTTCCTGGTTGCTGCAAGTAGTTTGATGGGGACAAACTCCCCAGTGCATTTAGGTGGTTTAAGGAGCACCAGTGCTTTACCTTCCGGTTTGGGGCAGCTTTGGCTGTTCTCAGCCTGCCTGGATGCTGCCCAGCCTTTAAAAGAGCTGGAGAAAAGACATGGATGACCCCTTGCCTGTGCAAGAGGAAGGCTCCTTTTTAATTATTTCCCTCTACATGGGGCTGTGTGCTCCCTCCTTTGCATTTTCTGTAGCTGTGGGCTTGGTTCAGCACCAGCTGGTACTTGCCGACTCCTGTGAGAGCTGCAGTTTGCCTTTGTATTCAGCAATCTCATGTACCCGTGCAGTCCCCGAGGTCCCTAAATAGGCAGCGTTAACGCTAGAGGCACCAAACACTAGTGATCAGGTTGCATTTTAAAACAAGATGTGGCACTGCTGGAGCATCCCTGCAAAATTTGGGACACGGTGCCCTCAGCGCCACCCGGGGATGCACTGCTTTGCAGTCAGATTTGGACTTTGGATACAAAGCACTTTTGGATTGTACAGGGAAGACTCTGGCATGGCTTTTCATCCCAAACACCTTCCCCAGACTGCAGGGAGGCCAAGAGCAGCCTGCCAGGTACGCAACAGGACACAGTTACAGCACTGCACTTGCTGCTCACCAGCCCCATGCTGTGTCACATGGCCCCTGCTCTCACTCCACACGCATTTACAACCACTTGCAATAGGCGGACAGTACTAGAAGCTAAAGGATGTGGGAGAAAAAAATGCATTCTTGCAGCTTTCCCTCCCTCCAAGCCATCCCAAAAGGGAGCAAACTCATAGTAACAGGCTGCAAAGTGAAGTGAAAAGCAAGTCTTTATTGTGCATGGAGCAAAGATTGCACTGATGGAGCCGTTGAGATCAGCACCTCAGCACCGTCCTGTGGTCAGCCATGCGCCGTGGTCCAGCACAGCCCCTCCGGTGACCCTTCACTCCCTCCTCACCCCATGGAAAAATCAGGCAGACGGGGGTTTTGCTGCCACCTGCCCTTCCCAGAGACCTGGCCACACTGCCCATCCTTGGCCCTGCATCCAGTGGCCAAAGGGTATCAATGGCTACCATGGCACACTGTAGTTCCTGAAAAGCAGCTGAATAAATAGTGATAACCAAACGGCCTTTCCTGTGGGGTGCCAGTGATGAGCCACCCCCCCCCTTTGGGCATTTCCCACTCCCCGGGTGCATCTCCACTCCTGTGGGGCAGGGAGGGACCATGGTGGCCACGTGCAGGCAGGGACACGCAGGCAGGGACGCACAGGCGTCTCAGGCTGATTTTAAAGAACGGTTTATTCGCTCGGAAACAGACGGTCGCATCCCTTTGACCTAGATTTAAAAACCCAGTGTGTACAAAGTCACAGTCACGGCTTGAAGAGCACAAGGCAGCACCCTCGGAAAAAAAAGTCATTAAAAGTCCCAGCATTATGTACAGCTAAGTGCCAGCTCGAGTATTCACAACACAGTAACGTACTGCAATTAGTCGCTTAAAAGTAGTTCCCTCGAGAAACAACCTTCTGCTCCGGCGGGGCCGGAGTCCATCCCATCCTGTCCATCCATCCATCCGGCAATGCTCAGTGCCGTTGGCAGGTGTGCAGGCGGGAGGCATCAGTGGGGCCGTGCTCTCGCTGGAGGCGACACGCCAGCCCCTCGGCGCACTGGCACCGCTGGAAGATCTCCAGGCTGTGGGTGCCTTTCCGACGGTGCCGGGCTGCCACCTGCCCTTCCCAGAGACCTGGCCACACTGCCCATCCTTGGCCCTGCATCCAGTGGCCAAAGGGTATCAATGGCTACCATGGGACACTGTAGTTCCTGAAAAGCAGCTGAATAAATAGTGATAACCAAACGGCCTTTCCTGTGGGGTGCCAGTGGAGGACCCCCCCCCCCCCTTTGGGCATTTCCCACTCCCCGGGTGCATCTCCACTCCTGTGGGGCAGGGAGGGACCATGGTGGCCACGTGCAGGCAGGGACACGCAGGCAGGGACGCACAGGCGTCTCAGGCTGATTTTAAAGAACGGTTTATTCGCTCGGAAACAGACGGTCGCATCCCTTTGACCTAGATTTAAAAACCCAGTGTGTACAAAGTCACAGTCACGGCTTGAAGAGCACAAGGCAGCACCCTCGGAAAAAAAAGTCATTAAAAGTCCCAGCATTATGTACAGCTAAGTGCCAGCTCGAGTATTCACAACACAGTAACGTACTGCAATTAGTCGCTTAAAAGTAGTTCCCTCGAGAAACAACCTTCTGCTCCGGCGGGGCCGGAGTCCATCCCATCCTGTCCATCCATCCATCCGGCAATGCTCAGTGCCGTTGGCAGGTGTGCAGGCGGGAGGCATCAGTGGGGCCGTGCTCTCGCTGGAGGCGACACGCCAGCCCCTCGGCGCACTGGCACCGCTGGAAGATCTCCAGGCTGTGGGTGCCTTTCCGACGGTGCCGGGTACACACCTGCCCTTCCCGCAGCACTGGCTTGCAAATTTTGGACCAGAAGTGACGGGCGCAGCACAGCCCGGCCGCACAGTCTGACGAACGCAGGCAGAAGTCCCCTTCCTCACCTGCATGGGGACAGCATGGCATGTGCTCAGCCTGGGATGCTCCCACGGGGGGATGGTGGGGCAGGTGGGTATCCCCCACGGGTGACAGTGGACACCAGGGCAGGGTGGGCATCCCGGACCGACCCCATGAGGGACAGTGGGGCAGGGTAGGCAGCCACCCATGGGGTACAGTGGGGTCACAATGCTGGGGACCCGCTTACCTTTGGCAGTGGGGAGCCAGGCGGGAGCAGGCGTCCGGCGGGGCAGCACCTCAGTTCCGATTTCGTCCAGCTCGGCGGCGCCGTGGGGAGGTTCTGGGGGGCTGCAGAGCCCTGCGGGAGGCAGCGGGACGCCTGTCAGCC